AGATCCCCTCATGCCAGACCTGTTCTGAACAAAAATGTACGTGTGTGTATGTGTATATAAAGTATAATATGTATATATATATATATATATATTACATGTGTATATTTTAAAAAATATATATATGTGCATACGCTGAGACAAAACGAAAAAGAGAGAGAGAGAGAGATGTGCGTGTATATATATATATATACATATAACAAATTACGTATGCATACATACTTATTTAGCATTTATCTATCTATTTATTTAATGAGTTTTATTGCCGTTGAACTTATATTCGGGACTACAAAGGCGTAAGATTCCACATCAGCTACGCTTCTACATTATCCCCATTTTGACGATTGCCGGACCACGAAAGCGGATAATGTCACAGATCCGGGTGTGGTTCAGACCAAGGGTCTGGAGGTGAAACACTGATTGGAGCTTAGGGTCTGGGGTTTGGGGTTTAGAGGTTTAGGGGTTTAGGGCTTAGGGATTTAAGGGTTTAGGGGTTTAGCGGTTGAGGGGTTTAGAAATTGAGGGGTTTAGGGGTTGAGGGTTTAGGGTGGTGGCTTCCCATTCTGGCCAAGAAATGTAGGGGACTCAATTACCAATACTACTCCTTAAGGTTGCGGATAATATTGCTGTACTAAGCAACCCCGGACAAAGTAACCTATAGTACCCGAAAAGCCCAACGGCATTCCGAATCTTTCGATGCGAGGCTTTGGAAATTAGGAATGGTTTTAGGCTGTTTTTGGGTTTAGGATTTAGGGTCTAGGGTTAGGATTTTGGTTATAGGGTTTAGGATTGATTTAGGTTTAGGATTTCGGGACCTCCGGTAGATACTGAGTAGGGGCAGCATCCAACCACAACCCTAAACCCTAAACCCTGTCTTCCATCATGAGGACTCAAAAAAACATGACAACACCCCCCTCCCCCCTCTCCAAAACCCTAACCTTGCCCTAAACCCTAAACTTGCCCTGACCTTAAACCCAAAAACCCTAAACTTGCCCCAAACCCCTAATCCCTCAACCCCAGAGCCCGAACCCTCCCAATCTTTGAAGCCCAAAGCTTCGAACCCCTACAGAGCCCCCTACAAAGAACCTTAGCGCTGAGCCCCTAAAAAGACCCTAAACCCTACAGCCCCTGTAAGTAGACAGCAGTACCCTAAACCCTAACCCCGGACCCTAAACCCAAGACCCTAAACCCTACAGGGTTTAGGGTCTAGGGTTCAGGGTCGGGTTTGGGTTTAGGTTCGAGATTGTTGCAAGTACTGTTATGGTTGAAGATGGTGATTTCCATTGCTACAGTCATTCTCAGTCTAAGCCCCAAACCCGAAACCTTGACCCGAATCCCGAAGCCCTAAAGCTACGCTACACCCTGCGCTTGGATATGGCCTGAGGGGGCCGATGCAACAGCTGCGGCGGAGTCTCGGAAGGAGCTGTCGTGTTTGGTGTTTGTTCAAGAGGTGTGCTGGAAGACCAACTCTTCTCCAAGGCTTACGCTTCGGGGCTTCGGCCCGGTGTTTCTAAAGCGGCCTGAGAAGTGCGAATAAGGAATCAGGTTTAGGCTTTGGGGTTTAGGGCTCAGGGTTTAGGGTTTAAGGTTTAGGGTCTAGGGTTGAGGAATATGAGGTATGCGAAAGTCATTATGGTATAATTAGTTACATGTAGGACTCCACTAGGAATCGCATCGCTACGTGTTTTGCACCTGTATGAAAAAGGTCATGAACCACTAGAGAACTCTACAAAACCAAAGCCCTAAGCCCAATAAAAGGGCTCTGGCACAAAGCTCTCGAGCCTTACTGTCACAGTTCTTTGCAAAGTCCCGAAGCCCAAAACAAACCCGGGCAAACATAGAGTTAGGGTTTAGGGTTTCGGAAAACCCAAAGCCCTGTACTATAGAGGTCTGATATCTAGACTCGGGATTGACAACCATTGTGCCAAGGGGGCTGTAAGTTTGCTCGACATAGGGGCCAGGTTTTGGTGCTTTTTTTGACGGTACAACTATTTGGATTACACCCGTTAGCCCTGAAGCCTAGATAGAGCTTAAAAGCAAAAAAGACAACTATGCCCTAACCCCCACACACGTTAGTAGTTGCCCGTGTGATTTTCTTCACCGGAGAAAGGGCTCAGGGGGGAGGGGAGGTGGGGTGGAGAAGTGGCGGCGGCGGATGGGGCGGGCGGGGAGGGGTGAGGGCGGTTACGACCATTTACACAAACCAACCCAAAACCATGCTATTTACTGCGTTTTTGCTTGTTTGCACAACATGCTGCAGGAGGATGTTTGCTGTTCACCTGCTAGTTACAGCTTCTTGCCTCTTGATACTCTTATTGCAGGAGGACGTTTGATGTTCAGCAACACGAGGCGCTGTCACAAGTGTTCATGCCATTTTGCGAACATGCCCAATGCCGTACTATTTACAGCGGTTTAAATTCCTCTTCGTACAACGCGCGTCTCATTGAATACATCTACAGCTGGGTCTGGCGCTTGCAGTTGGATCCCAAAGCGGACGTCGCGGATCGCTTGGGGAAAATGTGCTAGCATGAGTGCCCTAAGTTTGGGTCCCTGGGTTTGCTGAAGCACGGATCCATCCATTTCCACAGCCACACGCAGGAAGCCATATAATTTACAGCACTTGCCGTGTATGCCCTAAAACATACAGTCCGCGCCCCACACGGCCAGATGTCAACGTGCGACCCCCTAACCCCTAAACCCTGAACCTATGAAACGCAAAAGCCTTCGACGAGCGGTCGTCAGAAGATATGGTGGGAGCCAAAAAATAACTTTTCGATGCGGGCTGCTGCTGCCGAGCTATGTTTAGGGTTTAAGGTGTAGTTAGTCTAGGGTTTAGGGATGATGTTCTGCTCGTCGGAAAGTTACTAACTCTCCAGAAGCAGGAGAAGAAGAGGACGAAGAGCAGGAAACACCCTAAGACATGATTGCCGAGTACTTAATGTTCAGGAGGCCCTTTATGCCAGAAGCCTAGGTCCTAAGGCAGAGTCACTCAGTGGAAAGCTGAGACAAGGCTTTGGGGCATATTGGAGGGCTTAGGGTTGCGGCCGGTTTAGGCCCGTTTAGGGTGTAGACATGAATTGAATGTTGGGATTTACCCAAAAGCTGACGAGCGAGAGGCTTCTCAGCAGCAGCTTTCGCCCTTCAACGCAAGCCTTCCCCTGACCCATGCTGCTATCACGGCTGCCTCCAGCAGCGCAGCGCAGAGTCTGGATGAGAAGACCGTCTTGCTCTTTGAGGATTTGCGGCTGTGCGGCGTTCGGAAGGGTGTCATATTTTTGGGGATTTGGGAGAAAAGGCTCAGGGTTGCCAACGCCATGTGCAAGCATGCAACAAAAAGGAGCCCCACTGGATCTTAAGCCTTACGCCTTAAATGCTAGGGGCGCAACTGAATCTTGTGAGCGGCTGCACTGCAAACAAAGATCCATGGCTCAGTCTTTGGGAGCAAGGCTTCGAAGAGGAACCTTGCACGGCTGCCCGAATCCTCAAGAACGTCACTGCCCAAACAGGCCATGCGAGAAGTCGCATAGTGCAAGCGGCTTGTGGAAGCACTTACGCACAGCGGGAGGAAGGTGTCAGGCCGCCAACGTGCGAAATCCCAGAGTCCTTAGTCTAAGTATGGTCTGTTATCGAGGGTCTACACCCCCAAACCCCAGGTAGACGGTCGGCGACCGGACAGAAACTCACCTCAAACGTAATGGTCGCTTGAAGTTGCGCATGCACGCATCTGCATGAGTGCAGCTATGTACGAAGCCGCGCAGCCCTAAGCATTCATCCCGCGGAGCCCATAGCCCGTCAGCTCGGGGGGCTTAGGGCTTCGGAGTCGAGGTTTCGGATTTCGGGTTCTCTTAAGCTTAGGGTCTAGGGTGAGGGCCGAGCGTGAAAGTCTTGGAGCGTTTCCGGCGATTTGGGGTCTGGGACGTAAAGGACCTAAAACCACCGATGTAGGGGCCGTTATGATTGGAAGAGGATTCTGACTTTCATGAGAATCATGAGGGCTCTGGAAGCTCTGCATGCTGCCCCCCCCCCCCCCCCCGGCAGCCGCCCAAGCCCTGCGATCCAAAACCCAAAAGCCCTGAATTCCTGAAGAAACTACACCCAACATACCCCAAAGAACCTAAGCATTGTCCACTTCAGACCCTCAAGCCGAAGATGGCTCTTCGGGCTCCGCAAGATTTATTGGAACACCCGAGCGACCAAGGACCTTGAGCCCTGTATTCAGGGTCGGTTTATTTGCCAACAAGGCTGTCACCCTACACCCCTAAACCGCTAAACCCTACACCCCTAAACCGCCAAAAACTAAACCCTACACCCTAAACCCCTAAACCCCTAGACCCTAAACCTGCTCCTTAAGGTTTGGTGGCACGTCTTTGGGCTCAGGGGATTTTCGGGTATGGGGCTCTCGAGATGATGAGTCCTTATGAGGCTTCCGGGTGTGTTGGGGGTTGAGATGACATGGTTCCCTAAGGCTCCCAAACCCCTTTGGTGTGGAATATGCCTAAAATTATAGTGGTAACCCTGAGCAGAGTTAAAGTATATTCCTTGATTTAAGGGCTTTAAAGTCTCTGGGCTGAAGTCAGGAAGGCTTGAAGGTTCCAGGGGGTTAAGGGTTGGAGGCATATGCCTGAACCCTGAACCACAGGAATGTGGGATTGTAAGTAAGATTTAACGGATCAAAGGATCTTCAAGCACGGGGTTTAGGGGTTTCTTGAGCTCAGGGACTTCTGGTTTAGGGGTTAAGTCTCTTTCTTGATAGCTCAAGGGTTTAAGACTTAAGGTGATCTTTCCGGAGCTCAAGGGTGCAGGGTTTGGGGTTTGGGCGGTTCAGATTCTAATGAAGATTTCATGAGCTTCAGAGGTTTAGGGTTTAGGCGTTTAGGGTTTGGGGGTCTAGGGTTTAGGGTGTTAGGGTTCAGGGGTTTAGGGTTTAGGGCTTAGGGGTTTAGGGGTTTAGGGGTTAGGGTTCTTCATGAGCTTCAGAGTGTGACCCTTTGAGGGTCCTTGGCCTACTTCCCGGTGTCTCGCGTGGCTGCCAGGAGGACCAAGCCGAGAAGACCGGCTGGGATGAAGCCTGGCGTGCCGGCGACACTTAGGGCTCCGTAACTGTAGTGTAAAACCTGGTAGCAGTATAATGCCTGTTCTCATTATTGTTATTACAACTGTTACATTGAAATTCTGGTCATATCTGTAACTGGCGGTATCGCTGCTATTCCTCATGATTATGATGGGGTTTGAGGCTCGGGGTCGTAGGGTTTAGGTTGCAGTTTTGGAGTTTGTAGGGTTTAGGGTTTCAGGGTTTCGGCTGCTTTTTGTTCGGACGTGCGCTTGCTTTGTGGGCTTAAACTGCCAACAGAAGCGTCCTTTGGGCTTTGAAGGCCGTCGTTTGAGCGTGTCTATTCATTGAGGAGTCTATTCTGACTCTTAAGGCCTGGTTTTGTGTTTCAGGGCTTATCTTCAGCTGAATGTTGTCAAGAGATTGGTGGGTCGGCAAGTCGAGAAAGGGCTTCGCCTTCGACCAGCTTTCAGGTTGGTGTGGTCTCTGGGCTCAGGTACCAGTGCCCTGGCGAAAGGTCCGACCAAAGCGGGACCGCTCCTCGACATTACCGCGGCATCGCTAGGCACAACCACCCGGCCGCAACAAACGGCATCCTGAGCCCGAACATGGCGCATGCCCTCGCACAACATCGACGCGCTTATCTGTGATGTTGGAGACAGCTCAGGCAAAGTCTCAGCAGGCATGTGGAGTGCTCTAGACAGAAGTCCGCTGCAAGAGAGAACTGTTCCATTCCATGGCTCCGTTCGCCGGGCCCCTCGTCGTCGTAACAAATCAACAAGCTGGAAGCCCTAAATCCCCAATGTCAGTGCCTAACATAAGAATAGTATCGGTAGTTAAAAGGCCGACTAAGGGATTAAACTCCGTCCCCGGAAGAAGCGTTGGGCGGATGATATCATATAATATTGTCTGGTGGGATAGTATGGGATCGGAGAGTGTAGGCTTTCCCAAGGTGCAGCGGGCTAGCGCGCAGCGTCTGGAGCTTCGGATTCAGGCTCGGGCTTTAGGGAAGAGGCTTAGGGCTCCGGGATCAGGCTGCATGGATAAAGGACCCAGGCTCAGGATCTAGGGACCTTAGGGAGAAGCTTAGAAACCTTAGGGTTTGGACCATGATGCTACGGTTTAGGGTTCAGGATTTAGGGTTTAGGGGTAGAGCTACAAAGGTACATACAACTAGTCAGTACTCAGACCATGAAGCTGCTAATGTAGGGGCCTTAGTAATTAAAATGGGTTTCGAGGTATACGATACTGTAGTAATGATAAGGAACCCCCAAGGCCCTATTCTATTCATTAGGGCGCCTACGCTAGGTTATGGATCCCTTCCGCCTTGGAGCGCTAGTCCTCGTTTCGGATTTAGGAATTTTGAGTTTTTGGGATTTGTAGCTACTCCCCAGTATGGGATGCAAGATTCTGTTCTATAGGAGAGTCTGAAGCCTAAGGGCTGGAAGTCAGAGTCATCGGGTTTGGTGGCTAGGACCTCGGAGCTGGAGATTCAGAGGCGCTCTAGGTTCATGGCTGCTACACTCCGAAGTCCAAGACCCCCAAATGCAGAAATTTTCAGGTTCCGGAAGCCCTATAGCCAAAACACCCCCGAAGCCTAGGCCCGAAACCCAGACGCAGACGCCAAGCCGGAAATCCTGGATCCCCAAACCCAAGCACAAGAGCCAGAGAATGCCTGCAGTGCAGGAGATGAAGGGTTTAGGGTAGAGATGCAGATGCAGAGTTGATGGCCGTGGTTGCTGGGCTTCGTCTACGACCCTTGGTTTGGCACTGCCCGGAAACACTTTGTCCCTCAACCGAAAATCCTAGGGTTTAGGGTTTAGGGTGTAGGGTTTAGGGCCCTAAACCCTAAACCCTAAATCCTAGCCCTACATATGATCTGGTTGCATCAGAGTGTACAGGGCTCCTTGGAGCACTGGGGAGTGCATGGTGGGGGGGGAAACCAATGCTCCTCCAGATGTAAGAAGGAACGGATTGGCACGACTTCCCAGAAACCCCTGACTGCTGATAGATGATGATAGATATGGGGATTGCCGAAAATAGGGGACCCTAATATAGTACCCTAAATAGTAGGATCCTTATTATAAGGACCATATGCATCTGGCACCGCTCCCCCTGATCACACAAGGATTGTTCAGCCGCTGTCCCTCGGCTTAGCTCTCTACAACCCTGAGGCTGACTAGCCCACAACATTCACTCTAAACATCCAACCCTAACCTGCCTGCAAAATCCGAAAAGCGCCTACATGGCACCTGTTCGGATTGCCATCCTATGCTGAAGCTTGACCTGATATACTCTCCTTCCTGCGAGTACCCCCCCCCCCCCTCGCAAACCCCCAAATCCCTACGGATCTCTAAACCCTAAACCCTAAGCACCTAAACCCTAAACCCTAAACCCTAAACCCTACACCTGAAGTGGGAAGCCGAGAATCGATGGAAAGACGGGCACTTTTGACATGCCCAGTGCCGAAACTTTGTAAAGAGGTTCCGCAGCTGTTCCGCCTTGGAGCTTCAACCCAAGGGAAGGGGCCTAGGGCTTTAGGGCTTTAGGGGTTTGGGGTTTTAGGGGTTTGGGGTTTAGGGGCTTAGGGCTTTAGGGGTTTAGGGCTTTAGGGGTTTTGCGTTTAGGGTTTAATTAGACTTAAACTTTGGGGCCTGAATATTTAGCAGAGAGGTTTGGCGTCGATGATACTCTAACAATTGGGGGACAATAGGGGTATACCGTCACTCATGTTTTCCAACGCCTATAGATGGGGATTCAGGAATCAGGGATCATGTTCGGGGCCTTGCGAAATTGGATTGCAGTTCGAACCTTTGGGCGTTGGGCTCCACCGGTTTAGGTTTTAGGGCTTAGTAAGCCTTAAACCCGTTGGTCTTGCGGCCAGAAGTCAAACTCCGACATGCCCCGAAGACGGGTTCTGCAGAATCAGAACGGGTCCAATGAGGGATCTCTTTAGGATTACTACATGGGTTACCATAAGACTGCTGAAGAGATAGGGTTACTATACACGGGTTGATAGAAAGCCTTTCAGCCGCGCCTGCTTCACCCAGGCAGCGTCGTTCATGAGCGCCAACTCCTTGGACCTGGGGACAGGAAATGCTCTCAAAGCAAGAGTCCTGAAGTCAAAGATCTGGAGCAATAGTATCTTAGATTGAGGATCCGAGACTTAGGGCCTAAACCCGAAACGCCGAGTAGCCCATATAGGAAACCTTCTTAGCAGCCTATACGGTAGCCTTCAAGGCAACCCATGCAGCAACCATCATAGTAACCCTAAACCCCTTAACCCAAAACCTAAACCCGAAACCCCCCAACCCTAAGCCCGAAATTGTAAACCCTGCAAACCCCTTAAAGAACAGAACCCCTGATGATGCCTCGTGGATCCCTCATAGGGGCCCCAAACCCCATAAACCCTAAACCCTAAAACCGAAGCCCTTATAGGGACCCTAAACCCCATAAACCCGAAACCCTAAAACCGAAGCCCTTATAGGGACCCTAAACCCCATAAACC